GCTCACTCGCTTTACCCATCCTCTCTGCACAGCTCCCACGCCGAGGGGAAAATCGCCGTGTTTGAGGAAGAGGTGATTCCCGTGCTGCTGAGCCTGCTGGAGGACGCGCGGCCCGAAGTCCAAGTGAACTCAGCGGGAGCGCTGATGTTCGCTCTCGTTACACCTCAGGGTGAGACACAGGGGCAATTCTCTTGGGGTACCTCCTGGAAATCCAATTCTAGGGCAACTAAGTAACAAAACATTTGCCCTCCGCACTCCCCAGTTCCTCAGTTTCTGACAGTGTTAATGCTCGTCAAGAAATTAGGACTGGGACATTTCTTTACCACTGCCTTTAGCAACTGTTGCTGCTTCGTCACAGTGCCTGGGGGGGACAGGATATTTCACATTTCATTGTCTTAAGTAGGTCAAGAAGTTATTTATCTACCTCACCTGCATCATTTCCCTCCAGAGGGGGAACGTTTTCCACTCAAGCGCAGACCACACAGAGATCCAGAAAGCTGGAGCTGTGCTCGATCACCAGTGCTCAGCACAGGAGCGCTGCTCTCAGGAAACACTCTGGGATTAGAGGCAGCTCCTCTCTCACAGCTGGGAGAGCAATGAATATTAATAAGGTCTGTAGCTCTCCCAAGTAACTTACATGACACAGAAAATACTAACTGCTAAATTTCCAGTGTGATGAATGAGTAATTAGACATAAAAGACTCAATAACAGCAGTTGTGTTCCAGTCCTCCTCTGCAAACCTTCCTCGGGCTTCCAAAGACAACTCAGGAGTGGATCTCGGTCTTTGAAGTGTTTTTAGAAATGAAAGACTGGAGGATGTTCTTAAGGGCATCTAACAAATTCCACTCCTCACCCCCCTCCAAAACATATTCTATCATTTAGTGCCTCATGTATTTTTGGATAATTTGTTGCAAATGAAATACTAATGTACCAGGCAGATAAAGTTAACCATGAAAGATCTTTTTCCTTAAAAACAAACAGCTGGGAGCCAACCTTGGTCTCTGAAGGAAGAGCACGTTCTGCCTCTGTGCACTGCACCTCCAGGGCTGTTCAGAGCTGCAGCCAGGCAGGGAATGCAACGTGTCAGACCAAGAGGATGATGATTAGATGGCGTTACACATTTCAAAGCCACTTTATTTCCCTCCAGGGAGATCCTCAGCCATGGGTGCTGCAGCCATTCCACCTTTACTGACGCTGGTTGCTGAGGAAACCAGCAAAGCGCGTTTGAATGCAATCAAAGCCCTCACCCTGCTGGCCGAGCTGCCGGAGGGCCGCCAGGCGCTGCTGGAGCACAGGGACACCTTCCTGCGCTGTCTGGATGATCCCAGCGAGGCCGTGCAAAGAGCGGCCGAAATCGCCATCACCGTGATCGACTGGAAACCCTTCTGCAGCCGCGATCTTTTCTAGAGATCTATTGCCCTCTGTTGTTGTCTGGCTGTAAAGGTACACGATTACACGAGACCTTCAGCACCCCAGAGCTCTCTTCCTTACTTACTCTGGCTCAGCTTCTCCTGAAAAGTTATTTGGCAACAGTTTCACATCTATATTGCAGGTCACAAGCAGAAAAATGAAGAAGAAAACTTAGGAAGTGTGGAATTCTCCACTAGGAGTTGTTCCCCTAATTACCAAGATTTTCCTATGATTCAAGACATCAATCCCTTTTATTTTCTTCCTAATGTTCTCTCCTTTTTTTTTTTTAACCTCAGCCTATCAAACACTAATCAATAATTAATTATATTAGAAAGGTTCACAATTAACCCCTCCAGCAAATCGTCCATAGTGACAAATTGATCTAACAACATGAATTCACATGAATTTTGCTGCAAACATTTGTTGAGCGTGGGATTAAGAGCAAAGTCAGAAAGCCTTTACCAGGTTAAAGCCTTGGTAAAGCTGTGCTGGGGCCTCTCCAACAGGAGAGGGCTCTGGTCCCTAATTGGAATTGCTTGGAACAGAAAACAAAAGCACCTCGGGGTTTGAGCTGAAGGCAAAGGAAGTGGTGAGAAGTTTCAGTAGCATTTTACTCACTGGGAGTTCAAGGCTGGTCACTACTGACATGTTACAAATTTCTGTCTGCAGTTACAAGAGTGTAATTCAAGATGCTTCAGCAGGAGGCCTGGCCAAAGAAATAACACAAATGAGCAGGACAGCCCTGGCCATTGTCAGCCACCAAGGAAGATGTGACAGGGTGGCTGGCACAGCTTCACAGCAAGTCCTGTTTGTTTTCACTTGGGCTTTGTTCTCACATGGGAGTTTTATATCCAGAATTGTAGCTACAAAGCAGCTGCATCAGGTCTGTAAAAGGGGTTATTTGTCAGGGCTGCTTTTCCATTCAAACCCACAGTCACACTGCAAACTGCATTACCCTTACACACAGGATAAACTCTCCCTGTAGGAGTGATTACAGTTAAAATGCTTCTCTTCCATAATGTAACCAAAGGGTGAATTTCCTCTCTTATAAAGATGTGATTTAAAGTATTGAGTCAGTTGGATTCATTCCCTCCAGGCAGGATCTTGGAGGAACTCTGCCTTTTATACACATAAGGCACTCGTACGTGATACATATTGGTGCCAGAGTGCATCCAACTCAATAAGAGAGGCCAGGCAGCTTTAATCACATGCTAAAGGACTAGAGCAGCACAGTGCAGGCCCAGCTGCTCCTACAGAACTGCAGGAAAACTTGGTAACAATCATCATTTTAACCCAGGTCCAGCCTTGTCACAGCCTTCCCTCATAATTCACTGATAATTCAGTGAATTCCCAAAATAATTAGCTTGTTCAGATAGAGAAATGAGACCATCCACACTGAACTGCTCTGGCTAAAAGAAATTGATTTGGACCTTAAGTAGTGTGTTCTGAGCATCTGCCTGATCAATGCTTTAAAGACAATATAAACTGTTCCCAAAAAAGCCTCTCCATGGATCAGTGTTCCCATCTCACACACACAGCTCAGAAATGGAACAAAGCCTCAGGTGAACTCTGAGTTATGGACACTACTGGGGCCCTCCCACATGCCAGCTTTTGTCTCAGCAATTCTTTGGCCCTGTTACACCTGACAACATGAAACCATCACACTCCCAACACAACAGGAATTCCCTTGGGCTGTACTGACCATGTGCTGCCTCTGCAAATGCCAGGATTTAAAGGCTGTGTATGAACACCAACTGTTAATTGGGGTTTTCTACTTGCAGAGCTGCATTATTGACAAAAAGGTGGTTGCAGATATAATAATCCAAAGTCAGGCTGTGCTGAGGGCTGATTCCCTGCTTTGGGATGAGAGACAAGAGTCCCCATTTCATGAGGCTGGGAATTAATTAGCACTGTAGGTGTCAGTAAAACAATTGGCTGGACCAAAGAACAGTTGATGAACACTTTCCCTGGACTCAGCTTGCAGTCAGGAATACTCCATAATAAAGCTACCACAGACTTGGTCACAAAAATACTGAAGATCTTTTGGAATTGCTTCACACACATTACAAATACTTAAATGAACATCTCAGGATTGGCACCCCACACCCCAATTAAACTCACCCTTTCAAAGGAAATGCTGTGTGTACAGCAAGTGTCTGGTTTTAGCACCAAGGCAAATTTTTAATATCAATGAAATCAATTTGCCTTTTTAGCTTGAAGCCAACAATTATTAAGGCCCAGATACAATTAATATGGTCCCAGGTCAATACAGGAATTAATGCACTTACACTCTACACAGATTGAGCTTTCAAACCATTGCCCAGCAGTCCTCAGCAGCACCAGGACACAAGGCAGCTGCACCCATGGGAAACAAGGCTTCCCTGTGGACTCTTGTGTCCCACCCAGACAGAGGTCACATGGAATTTTTTCTAACAGTTTCCAGAAGGTTAAGAATGTTATGGCTCTTTGTTCTTGCAGCTACAGACTCATTTCCACTGTCCCTATACTCCTTCAGAAGGCCAAGGGGTGGAAATCATCCTGTCCTGCTCTGGAAAATGGCAGCTTTTAATTCCATCTCTTCATGTTTCAAAGCAGGGAGGATATTTGTTTCTCACCATTATATTTTTTATTAAAAAATATAAAAATCATATAGTGAGAGATTTGTCAAAGGACAAAATAATCTGGGAAAATCACATTTGGCTAATGGCATTAAACCAGAAGGGCAGAGACAGCTACACACAAAGCTAATATGCTCAAAGCACAGGACTTCCTTTTAGCAAGACAAAGTTTGCAATTTGAATGAATAAAACCCTTTTAATAATTTGTTTTCGCATACCTTGCATATAAACTACATTTTTAAAGTTATAGGTTCCAATACTGTAAACAAAAATGTGCACAGAAGGACGAGAAACTCTCACCTCAGCTTGAAGCTCTCCCAGGTACCTTCAGAAAAGGAGGGGAGGGTCTGACCCAGGCAGGCACAGCTGCTCTGGCCTCAGCTGTGCCAGGGGAGGGCAGGGTGGGCTCAGCAGCTCCAGGGGAATTATTCGTTCTCACAGCTGCCCATGGCAGAGGGCAAGAAGGAATATTCTTCAGGAGGCACAAAAAAGGCAACCTGTTTTATTAATAATAAGGATGATAACTTGAGGCACTGCTTATACTGTCTTGCATTAAAACAACCAGTGGAAAATGGAGTGAGTGAAGTTTTTCTGTCCTTTAGGTTCTCCAGCACAGGCCTACAACACACACTCCATGAGAAAATGCCATGAATCACCAAAAAAAGCCAGGGGTTTTGCATTTCCCATCTCCTTCAGCAGGGTATTGCCTGCTGTTACTGAATCTGGGACTCTACAGGTTCTCATTTCAGCACCAGGGAAGGTCTCTGGTTGCTGCTCCCTTCCCTCTCTGTGGGTTCTCTGCAGGGCACAGCCCCCTGCAGCTGCCACATGAGACCACTGAGCCAATTCAAGCACCCAGCAGCTTTCCTGAGAGCAGCTTTGCTGGGACCCCCCAGCCTGTGCCCAGAAATGGCAGCTCTAAACCCCTCTGGCTCCACACTTCAAACCAGTGAGCTCAAGTGCCCTTCAGGTACAATGGCTGCCAGTACTGGATGGATTGTTTAGCTTTGCTCCTCGTTTTAGTGTTGGCTTTTACAGGAACACTGCTGGTTTTGCCAGCTGAGGCAGCTCAGGGAGCTGAGTCCCCTGGCAATCCCAGCTGCTCTGGGCTCCCATCACCACATCCACCTGCTCCTGAGGAGCTCAGCCTGTGCCATGGCCTGGTTCAGCATGGCCAGACAGTCTGCTTGAAACCACCATGGCTGCTGCAGGCTGATTCCAACCAAAGGCCCAGATATTCCCTCCCCTGGCATTTCAGTGCAGGAGATTTGCAGTAAAGAAACAGGAATAAACCCAAATTCTGAGTTCTAAGAACAGGGTGTTATCATCATCATCAATACTAAACATTTGTGAGATACTTGGATACATTTTGTGAGTGATACAGAAAATTAAATGAACAGTGATTACCCTTTTTCAGGATTTTTCTTAAGAACTAGATAGTATTTCCTAAATGGTAAAGATTTTGCTTAGTTGTTCTTTACAGAGCAGTGTCACAATTTGCTAACAGTGCTATTAAGTGCATATTGTATTTTATTTTATTAAAATAATTCTGTATATCTAAAGTCCACTAAAAAAGCTTTAACCATGTGCCTTACCTGACAGGGATGTCTCCAGATCCCCTGGAACAGAGCTGTGTTGTGCTGTACAAGCCAGGCAGGTACTTTGTGCTGTGAGCCAGGGGTTTATTTGGAGTCTCACCACTAACCAGACATTTTTCAAATGTATAATCAAACACTGGGGAAAGGGTGTGCTCACAGTTCCCACCTCTAGAGCATGGCAATGCCACAACAGTGCAAGCTGCTGCTTTTAGCTGTGTCCCCAGCAACAGCTCATGGACAGAGCTCCCCTGAAAACTGAAGGAAAATCATTTTCTTCCTTAAAATCATGAATGTAATAGCTACCAACCTGAGCTGGCATTTAATGTTAGCTAAACATTACAATTTTATCAACTGTTCACAATAGAAGGCAATTTTTCTTTGAAATTCTACAAAATTACAGGAATCAACAGCAGCTGTCAAACCTTTTGCAAACATTTGAGCTCTTCCCTCCACAACACCCACCTTCAGCCCAGAACCAATCAGGTTGCTGAGGACATACAGTGAATATCCCTGGGAAACTCTGTTAGATTTTCACAACTCTGTGCTTCTGAGGAGCAAAGTCATGCAATGATGCCTGATTACCCAGGAGGTCACACAAAGGCTGCTCACACTGCCAGGAAATCACTTCAGTTCTTTGTCTTTATCCAAATAGCTTTATCATTTCACTGTATTTTGTAGCAAAGAATGACAAAGAGGGATCTGGGCAATCCTCAGTGACATCTTCCTTGGTTGTTTTTCATCCATTACTATTACCCAGAGGCAAAACCTAGACACCAAATGAAGTTTCTCTGTCTTCCATCACATGATATAAAAATCCCATCACTTTGTGGACACCAAATCCTTCAAAACATACAATTACTTTAATACATACAAATCTTCATTGTTCATTAAATACAATTAATTCCATGGTCTTTAAAATACTCTATCACTGTGTTAAGGTTTGCACTGGTATTCCTGAAGTATTGATTAATCTGTCCTGTGCAAAGGACCCTGAAGGGATTCATGCTAAATAGCACCAACTCTACTCTAGAGCAGCAATTCTGCTGCAATCCTGAGCATTTGGGGTTACAAATGAAGCAAAGATCCTGCCAGGAGAGGAAGAAGTGGCAGAGATGCAAGGCCAGGAGGCAGAGCAGGGAGCTGACAGCCCAGGAGGCAGAGCAGGGTGGTGGTGCCAGCCCAGGAGGCAGAGCAGGAGCTGTGGCACCGCAGGGGTTGCCCAGGAGGCAGAGCAGGGTGGTGCCAGCCCAGGAGGCAGAGCAGGAGCTGTGGCACCGCAGGGGTTGCTCTGTGCCTTCCCCTGCAGCTGCTGCCAGCCCTGAGTGCCCTGAGGCAGAAGCTTGGGGACAGCACGGTGCCACCAAGGTGCAGAAAGAGCAGGGAACTGTGGCACTGAGCAACCAGCACATTCTTTCTACAGCTGATTCCCCAGGAAGCTGAATGAGATGAAAAGAAGATCTATTGCTTTTTTGCTTTGAAGTGTTAAATCTGTCTTTTCCTGTGTCCCCAGCTGGCACCAAACTAAACGAGGAGAGACAATCAGCCTGGTTTAGCTGATACCCCACAGCTGTGACTATTCTCCTTCCTGAACTGCTAACTCATGCTGCCATGCAGCAGGAATCCTATTTCTCAATGAAATCTTCAGAGGAAAGATTTACAGCTTTGCAGGAAAGCAGCACAGAGCCCTGGATGTGTGTGCACAGTGCAGCCCAGCACTCCAGTGCTGAGGATGTGCCACCATGGGCAGGTTTGTAGCACAGCCCACAGACAGAGGCAGGACATTGACTCCAAGCCCACAGTAAAGAGGGCCTTGACACACCAGGATGGGAATTGATCAGGAAGAAATTGATATATATACACACACATAAATACATATTTTAAATATATATAATATATATAGTGCATATACATAATGTATTGCTTGTGTATATATAATACATGTATTTTGTATAAAAAGCTTCACATTCAAGTAAAGGTATATATTAAAATATCAAGAGAGGAGGACCTTTGGAAGTTAACCTTAAACAAATAATCTACTGTAAGCAAAATTCTTTTTGGGATCATCAAGACAGGTGTTCCCCAGTTTCAAAATGTGATCAATTCAGTGGTGAGTGTTCCACTGACAACTGAGGAACACAACCCAGTGGGAAGTGAGAAAAAGGGAAGAAAACTGAAAATGGAAAATTATATATAATATCAAATACATTGATATGTGCATAAACCCTTTACTTAAGATATCCCATGTTGGGGGGACAGCAGCAATGTTTTAATTTGAGTTTGTAATACAGTCCCTCAGTGGTTGTCAGTTTTTTGCAAATTATCAAATCCAAAGGAAAAGAAAAATTGAATGATCAGAGGAAGGGATGAAAATCAAAATAGTGTCATGAACCCTAAAAGGTAGTTCACAAAACCTGATATGAAATATGGCTCAAGCAGCCTTGTTCTGAACCTAAAATATGAAATGTATCATGAGCAGAGAGAATATTGGATGGAAATTCTGAACCTCAGCCCTGGAGTGGTTCAATGCCTAAATAGAAATTCTCTCTTGAAATCTCAGTGGCCTTCATCTTTAAATTGTTGAAATTATGATCACAAAATCAGTGAATAAATCACTCTGATGTTTTACAAATGTAGATGATGAAAATACAACGTGTATCTAATTGTGTAAATCTACAAACCATCATTTTTGCTTGAACAATGCAGTACAATTTCAGGGCTGTGATCAGGGGCTATGCAAAGTAGGCATGGCAAAACACAGCCACAGTCAAGAGGATGATGCCATTGATGTTCACAATGTTTCTCCACAGTGGCACTTCACTGGTGTCTGTGAGTTTCTTCTTCAGTGCCTCCTCTTCCTCCTTGCTCAGTTTGGGGGCCTTCTGTTGGTCCAAGCCACAGAACCAGTTGTAAGCTTTCCTGCAGCATCCTGGCTCCTCCTGGTTTTCCTCATTAACTGGAAGGAATAACACTGGTCAGGAAAGGTGAGTACAGATCATGGCACACACACATCTCTGGGACCGAGGGCATGCCCCTTCTGATTTATGGTCACAATTAAAGGAAGCATTTTAGTACAAAACAGTACAAGGATTGAGTTAATATTGTATTTGCACAGCTCATCTGAGAAAAGAGGGATTTCCTACATGTTCCAAGAGAGCCTTCTGCAGAAGACACCTGGGCCTTTTTCAGCCCAGAGACTTGGCCTAGTATTGGAGAAGCAAAGGTGCTTCAAAGCTTTAACTCCATTTTTTCAATACTTTCTACACTCTTAACTGAAAGACAAATAAATTAATTTGAGGATACTGATAAAAAGGAGCTTGGGCAGGTTTGCAGTCTGCTTTCATGGTGCCTTCAATCCTGACCACAGCCCACTGTTTGCAGGTGAATTCCCTCCCAGTGCTGGAGTCACAGTTCTGTCAATGCACAGTGCTCTGACTCTCAGCTTCGCCATTGGTTCAGTCCTAGAGCTGCCACCCAGATACCAAGAGAACAAGATTTCCTCCCTTCAAATCCACTTCACTTCTGATTTACACTGAGCTTGAAAGATTGGAAAAGGCAGCTCATGAGCCATTTAAATCTGTGGGGGCTGAGGATTTGTTGTTGGGGAGAGGGAGGATGTCTTCAACTATCAAGCATGATAATGTTCCTTCAGGAATGAAACAGGGATACTCCAATATATGACAGAATCTCTAGGTATTCAACAGTTACCTGATTCATCATCTTTTTCATCAGCTCTGTCCTGCTCCTCATCTGCATCAAGATCAATCCGTTCTTCTTTGCTGTGCCTCAAGGCCCAGCACAGGCGGTGGAGCTGCCACGGAACAAAAGGACTGGGCTTGACCATGGCCTGAGCACACAGAGACCAAGCAGCCTGGCCAGCCCCTGAGCTGGCTCCAAGCCACAGCATCCCAAGTGTCTGGGGTGCCCCAGGCTGTGAGGAGTCACTGGAGGTCTGTGACAGGTAAATGAAGGCTATTTCCTTTCTTACAAGAGCTGT